TCACTCACCTCAGCTCCCAAAGCGTGGAATTACAGGCTGAGCCACCGAGCCCGGCTTAAGGGTTGGGTTTTAAATACCGCTTTGCAGGATGAACTCCCTTGAGAGTCTTAGAAGTTGATAGTGCCATGGAAATCACTGTATTCAGTAGATACTTGGGCTGTTGAGCCACCTGACCATTTTGTTGCTCTTTGGTCAGAAGATCAAGTGAATCACACATACAACTATTTCTTAGCAAAATTTTTAGAAATGGAATTTCTAGGGAGGTGGGACTGACAGTACTGGAAATCTGCCTGGGAGATGGGGGGCACACCTCGTCAACAAGGGTACCTGCACAGAGAATATTTGTAAACTTAATCCTGAAATGTACCCCACAATTTTAAAATAAGAAAAATTTAAAAGTTAAAAAAAAAAAAAGAAAAAGAAATGGAATTGTTAGGTCAAAGGGTAAGTACATGTAAATATTTTATAGACATTGTCAACTTGAGGTTCAGGAAGGTCACATCACTTCTCTTCCAAGAGTGTATGACAACGTCTGTTCTTTTCATTTTCTTTCCTAAAACCTGTCACACACAAAAAACAAAAAAAAAAAAAGGCAGCAGAGGGCAGTGGGAGGGTTCAGGGGCCCGGGCGGGGGCTTCTGATACCCTGGGTCTCCCAGGTGGTGGGAAGGTGGACTTCGAAGACTTCGTGGAGCTGATGGGCCCCAAGCTGCTGGCAGAGACGGCAGACATGATCGGTGTCCGGGAGCTGCGGGATGCTTTCCGGGAGGTGCGGCCCTTGGGGCGGAGGGAGGGGGAGAGCTGTGTGTCTGCGTGAGGGGCTGAACGAATGAATGACTGTCAGTGACCCGTGGCCACGACCAACGCCGCCACAGTTCGACACCAACGGGGACGGCTGCATCAGCTTGGTCGAGCTCCGGGCAGCCCTCAAGGCCCTGCTAGGGGAGCGTCTCAGCCAGCGGGAGGTCGACGAAATCCTCCAGGACATGGATCTCAATGGAGACGGCCTGGTGGACTTCGAAGGTACCACTCGCTGCCCTTAGCTACACACACTCTGGAAGGTTCCAAAAGAACCCACCAAGGGAGGGGTGTCACTGCACCAAGCATCCCAATGTCTTCTCCATCAGGGAGAACCCAGGAAGAAGGGAACTTTTATTATCCCCACGGGCAGGTAGGAAGGTTCTCAAGAAGGGTTAGGTGCTTAGCAATAGGATGTAGGTGAAGCCAAGTTTTAAATCCAGATCCCAGCTCTGCCTCTATGCTGTGTTCCCATAAAGGAAAAGCAGGGATTAAATAATAATAGAAAAACCAAGGAAAGCTGGGCGCGGTGGCTTACACCTGTCATCCCAGCACTTTGGGAGGCCGAGGCGAGAAGATTGCCTGAACCCAGGGGTTCAAGACCCGCCTGGGCAACTTGGTGAGACCTCATCTCTAAAATAAATCAAAAAATTAGCCAGGCGTGGTGGCGTGCGCCTGTGATTCCAGCTACTAGGACGGCTTTGCTGGAAGGATTGCCTGAGCCCAGCAGGCCGAGGCTGTGTGTGCCACTGCACACTCCAGCCTGGGCGACAGAGTGAGATTCCAACTCCAAAAAAATAAAAAATTTTTAAAAAAAGGAAGCCAGCCGGGCTCGGTGGCTCAGCCTATAATCCCGCGCCTTTGGGAGGCTGAGGTGAGGGGATTGCCTGAGCCCACAGGTTCGAGACCTACCTGGGCAGTGAGACCTCATCTCTACAATAAATCAAAAAATCAGCCGGGCATCGTAGCGCATGCCTGTAATTCCGGCTACTCAGAAGGCTGAGCGGAAGGATCGCCGGAGCCTAGCAGGCGAGGCAGCGGTGGCCGGGAGCAGCCACTGCACTCCAGTCTGGGCAACTGAGTGAGACTCCAACTCAAAAAAAAAAAAAAAGGAAGCCAAGGGAAAATTGGCATGTGGAAGTGCATTCCCCCAAGTAGGCCCTAAAGTTGCTCCTGAGTTTCCTAGCAGTCAAAGCAAAGAAGAAAACAGGTTGTGTTACAAAGTTTGGGGATACGTTTTTTTTTTTTTTTTGGCCATAAGACACACCCCTCTTCTTGGCCCTGAGCACTATTTTCCTTTTTTCTTTTTCTTTTTTTTTTTTTAGCTGGCATCTCACTCTGTCACCTAGGCTGGAGTGGAGTGGCACGCCCATGGCCACGGCAGCCTTGACCTGCTGGGCTCAGGCAGTCCTTCCACCTCAGCCTTCCAAGTAGCTGGAACTACAGGTGTACGCCACCACGTCCAGCTCATATTTTAATTTATTGTAGAGATGAGGTCTCGCCAAATTGCCCAGGCTGGTCTCGAACCCATGAGCCCAGGCAATCCTCTCACTTCGGCCTCCCAAAGTGCTGGGATTGTAGATGTGAGCCACCGAGCCCAGCCGACCTGAGGACTATTTTCTATCAGATCCAAGGGATGCCCTTAAAAGTCCTTCCCTCAACCACACTCCAACCCACCCCAAGGAAGGCGGATTGGTCTCACCCCTAGTGGGGTTTAGAAAGCAGACCCCAAACCTCGGCTTTGTCCCAGCAGAGTTCGTACGAATGATGTCCCGCTGAGCCTTTTCAGAAGCTGGAGGCAGCAGACGGGACTCGAGGACCCCAGCCTCTGCCCGCCAGTGCGTTCTGGGATGCCCATCACCTGCAGCTGGGACCCTCCTCCTCGCCTCCCCACCATGCCTGCGTGTAGTTCCCTGACCTACCTTCACCCACCATCTCCCCTCCAGCAAAGCCCCCTCACCCCATCTCTGTTCCTCTGACAATAAAGTCTCTTCCAGTCTGGGGAGATGGCATCTGCCTCTCACTTGCTTATCCTGGAGGCCCCAGTATCTGGTCCCTCAAAGTCAAGTCCTGGGATTGTCCTCTTGGACGACAAGCCCCTTCAAGCGTGAGCTCCTGGTGGGTAGACACCCACATGTCTTTCTCTCAGATCCTTGGCCCAGCCCAGTGCGAGTGTCAGAAAATCTCCAGCCAAGAACCCAACTGCTGGTCGGGGAGCTCAGGCATGTGTGGCCCCCACGGTTCCTGCGGCTTATCCTTGGAAGGGCTCGTGGATAAGCCCAGGCGGGAGGGCTCTTCTCAAGCCTAATCTCACTTTCTCCTGCAGCAGCCATGGGGGCGAGCTGCTAAGAGCTTTCTTCGGAGAACTTGCTTCGAGGAGTAAGTTAGTCGAGGAGCTCGACTGCTGGCCCCTTCCAGAGACCCCTCAGCCTCTGGGCAGGCACCTCACTTCCCCAGGGAGCCCCCAGCCTCTGATGGAGCACAGGACCAGTACATTTCTGCCTAATGCAAGGCTCTTCTTTGCTCTGAGTCCCCTTTGAGTCAGCCATGGTGTGGTCAGATCTGCCTTAAATCAGAGGCGCCCCTGCCCAGTCCTGTTTCCTGCCCCTTTACCTTCTTTTAAATTTTTGTATTTTTTTGGAGTTAGAGTCTCACTCTGTCACCCAGGCTGGAATGCAGTGGCATACTCATGGCCACCACAGCCTCGACCTGCTGGGCTCAGGTGATCTTTCTGCCTCAGCCTTCCAAGTAGCTGAAACCACAGGCGTGCACCCTATGCCTGGCTAATCTTTTGATTTATTGTAGAGATGAGGGCTCACCAAGTTGCCCAGCTGGCCTTGAACCTGTGGCTCAGGCCATCCTCTCACCTTGGCCTCCCAAAGTGCTGGGATGATAGGCGTGAGTCACCAAGCCCGGCCCCTGCCCCTTTATCTTTTGTTCACCCCTAACTGCATCGCCACGTCTGCCTTCTGGGAGTCTCCAGGACATGGCTTCTCATTCGGTGCTTATCCCAGTCTTCATAGCCCCATTTTTCAGACTGCAAAAACTTGCAGGCCGTGCATCTTAGTCCATTCCTGCTGCTATAACAAAATGGTTTTTTTATTTTTTATTTTGTTTGATTCTATTTGAGTTGGGTCTCACTCTGACACCTAGGCTGGAAGGCAGTGACATAATCATAGTTCACCACAGCCTTGACCTCCTGGTCTCAGGCACTCCTCCTGCCTCAGCCTCCGAAGTAGTGGGACTACAGTCGTGTGCCACCATGCCTGGATAATTTTTTTTTAATTTTCTGTGGTGACGAGGTCTCACTTGAAGCCAGAAGTTTGAGACCAGCCTGGGCAACAACATAATGAGCCCCAACTCTACAAAAACAATAAAAATTAGCCAGGCATGGTAGCACAGGCCTTTTTTTTTTTTTTTCGCTTTTTTTTTTGTAGGAGTCTCACTCTTGTCACCCAGACTGGAGTGCAGTCGCATGCTCAAGGCCACCACAGCTTCAGCCCACTGGGCTTAGGTGATCCTTCCACCTAAGCCTTCCAAGGAGCTGGAACCACAGGCACATACAACCATGCCCTGCTAATTTTTTGATTTATTGTAGAGACGAGTTCTCACCAAGTTGCCCAGGTTGGTCTCGAACCCTTGGGCTCAGGCAATCCTCTCGCCTCAGCCTCCCAAAGTGCTGGAATGACAGGCATGAGCCACCACACCTGGCTCACAGGCCTTTAATCCCAGCTACTCAGGAGGCTGAGGAAGGAAGATTGCTTGAGCCCAGGAATTCAAGGTGAGCTGTGATCATGTCACTTTACTCCAGCTTGGGTGACAGAGTGAGATACTATCTATTAAAAATGCCTGCAATCCCAGTATTTTGGGAGGCTGAGGTGAGAGGCTTGCCTGAGCCCAGGGGTTCGAGAATAGCCTGGGCAACTTGGTGAGACCTCATCTCTACAATAAATTAAAAAATCAGCCGAGTGTGGTGGTGCTCACCTGTAATTCCAGCTCCTTGGATGTCTGAGGCAGAAGTATTGCCTGAGCCCAGCGGGTCAAGGCTGCAGTGACCGTGTGTGTGCTACTGTACGCCAGCCTGGGCAACAGAGTGAGACTCTGACTCCAAAACAAAAGAAAAAGAAGAAAAAAGATGGGATGGGAGCTCTCAGGGCTTGTGCCTGGTCTTTGCGTTGCTCCTGCCAAGGTGGCCCTGGTACGGAGCAAGCAGGCAGCTGCCGGTGCCCTGTCCAGCCTGGAGCCAGGACACCGAGGTGCCAGGGCTGGCTGCAGCAGCCTCAGTACCACTCTCCGGGCCAATCCCAATTAATCCTTAATCCTCAATTAGGCGATCTCCCCTGCCAATCTGGCAGGCCTGGGTATGAAGATGAGTTGCCGGCCCCAGTGGCCCAGCCTTCCTCCCCACACCCTCACAGCTGGCTGAGAGGACACTGCTGCCTGTGATGTCTGCCCCCCACTGCAGGGCTGGGGGCGGGGGTGAACGTGAGCCCGTAGAAACCAGAACCTCCTCGGGATCCGCCTCCCACAGCCTCCCATGCCCTCAGCCTGGCAGACTCTGCGGTTGGGGCATTGAGGGTGGCTAGAGGGAGGGCCTTAATCAGCTGCAGTGTGTGTGCTGGTTCACAAGTGCCTATGGCTCCCCCGAATCTCACACATACACCCCCACCCCAAAAGGGCTTTCAGTCCAGAAGATCCCAGCAGCCCCGACTAGGGCAGGGGTCAGGGCAGGGAAGGAACACCAGGCAGGCCAAGACTGGGGGAGCCCAGAGCCCCTCTCCCCGCTAAAGGGGGAGACTGCTGCCCAGCTCACCCACGATTGCCACTCAGAGCAGCCTGTAGCTACAAGATCTTCTGACCTTCCAAGAGAAGCTGTAAATTTGGGTGTTTACACTTAATCCACTTTCAATATTTTGAGCATAACAGGCATTCCACAGGGTGTACACATCTTCGGCGCACAGTTCGATGAATTTTACACGTCCATGCACCCACATAACAAGTCGAGATATTCCATGCATTTGTTTCATTTAAGAATAGTTTTAGGCTTGGAGAAACCTTGTGGAGATAGTGCAGAGAGTTTTCAAATACTCTACATTCCCATGTATCAGTCAGGGTTCTCCAGAGAAACAGACCAGTGGGATATCCAGGTAGATACATATGTGGATGGATGGATGGATGGATAAGAGATAATAGAGATAGATAATAGAATTAGATAGGTGATAGATAGATATAGATAGATAGATATAAGATAGAGATGATAGACAGAAATAGATAGATTAAAATAGATTGGTCACTGCTTTGTTAAGCTCTGGTATGTCCACGTGGTTGTGTGAGCTATGGGTGCCATGTTTTCTTAGCTTTGGCCCCCTCCTCTATCTTGGTGAGATGAATCTTCCCCCCCCCCTTTCTCTCTAACTTACTTCCTAAATAAACTTTGCTTGAAAACTTAAAAAAAAGAAATAGAAGCTGGGCTTGGTGGCTCAGCCTGTAATCCTGCACCTTGGGAGGCTGAGGTGAGTGAACTGCCTGAGCCCACAAGTTCGGGACCCGCCTGAGCAACTTGGTGAGACCGCATCTCTACAATTAAAAAAAAAATCAGCTATGTGTCACCCATTCAATTCTACCCCTCCCCTTGGCAGGCAGAGAGGGGCACAAGGGAGCAGGGTGGGTGAGGAGGCAGGGATAACCTTCTGCGCCATCATCCTTTTTCCAGAATGACACACAATTGGAATCACACAGCATGTGGCTTTTTTCTGACTGGCTTCCTTCACTTATTTCCTGTATCGTTCAATACCATTCCACTGGATGGATACATCACAGTTTGTTTACCCATTCACCTGCTGAAAGGCATCTTGGTTGAAAGACCCAGGAGGTTGAGACTGCAGTGAGCCATGATTGAGTCACTGCACGCCAGCCTGGGCAACAGAGTGAGACTCCAACTCACATAAATAAAGTACATTGCTTTAGTACAAGGTTCATCCTCTTAGTCACTTCCCAAGCACGGTCTTCCTCTAAACATGGTGTTATGGATTGAATGTTTGTGTTTCCCCAAAATTCATATGCTGAAACCCTCACGCCCAGTATTAGGAGATGGGTTTGTAAGGAAGTAATTATGATTAAATGAGGGCCAGGTGCGGTGAGTCAAGCCTGTCCTCCCAGCACTTTGGGAGGCCAAGGCGAGAGGATGGCCTGAGCCCAGGGGTTCGAGACCAGCCTGGGCAACTTGGCGAGACCTCGTCTCTACAATATATCAAAAAGTTAACCAGGTGTGGTAGTGCACACCTATGGTTCCAGCTACTTGGAAGGCTGAGGCAGAAGGATCGCCTGAACCCAACAGGTCGACGCTGGGGTGGCCGTGAGTGTGCCACTGCACTCCAGCCTGGGTGACAGAGTGAGACTCCAATTCAAAAAAAACAAAAGAGAAAGAGAGACACAGAAAGCTCATTCTCTCTTCCTGCATGAGAGGACCATATGAAGACATAGCCAGAAAGTGGCCATCTACAAGCCAGCAAGAGCGCTCTCACCAGAAACCAACCATGCTGCCGCCCTGACCTTGAATTTCCAATCTCCAGAAGTATGAGAAGACAAACATTGGTTGTTTAAGCCACCCAGTCCGTGGTATTTTGTCTGTGTAGTATTAGTCTGTGTACAACAGGCAATGGAGAAAGCAGAAAGGTCTAAAGTTTACAAGGAATGGGAGCTTGGTGACAGCCAAAGGAAGAAAAACCCTCAGTGACGTCTTTTCACCCGCTATCCACAGCAGGCTTCTCCAAAACACAGCCTCAGTGCCACTGTGGGGAGCAGAAGACCTTGGGTGACTCGATCAACACTATTATTATTATTATTATTTTGAGTTGACGTCTTACTCTGTTTCCCAGGCTGGAGTACAGTAACACGCTCACGGCCACCACAGCCTCGACCTGCTAGGCTTAGGCGATCCTTCTGCCTCAGCCTTTCAGGTAGCTGGAACTACAGGCCAGCTACCACATCTGGCTAATTTTTTTATTTATTGTAGAGACAAGGTCTTGCCTCGTTGCCCAGGCTGCTCTCAAAACCCTGGGCTCAGGCAATCCTCTTGCCTCCCAAAGTTCTGGGATTACAAGTGTGAGCCACCATGCCTGGTCCACATTTTTTATTTTTCACACTAGTATAGTTTGAATATATGTTAGAAAACTATAAAGAATATATTGAGCACATAATTAAATGGAAATTTTTGCTTCTCCTTTTTTTTTTTTTTTTTTTTTTTT